TCATTTCCCTTAATTTTAGATTTAGATTAACTCTTCCGTCATCTACACATCTTATTCTTTAAAAACACTAATTTCTTAATAGTACTTTTAAATGTAATATTTTGTCATCTCAAAATGAAATGAGTATCCATTTTTTAAATGTACATTATTAGTGATGATACCCACATTTGCTTGTAGCAATTAAAATAAAAAAGTTATTTTTAGTTTTTTATATGTAACTTATATTTTGTAAAGTAGAATTTTTATAATCTGCATTTATCAGTTATCAAACATACCATGAAAATAATTGGCATCTGTTTTGTCCTCTATTGTATTTTAATTGATGCATCCTATTTAAATTTTTCAAAATCTTAAAACTTTCCATTTTCCTGGTCTATATTAGATATTTAATCACAGATTGCCAATGTGGTCTCAGACTTTTGGACCCCAATATTTGTCAAACTCTGTAGGCCATCCAGTGAATCAGAGAGACAGAAATGCAGCAAAGACTGTGATTTATTGGACCTGATGGGGCATAAAGAGCCAGTTTAGTTTAGTCATCGTATTGCCCATCCGCCCTCTACGTCACACACACCTCCTATGTGTTATCCCACTCTCCCTGCTGCCCTTAATCCTTCACGGCTCTTAATCGGCATCTCAGCCTTTAAAAAGACCCATACAGTTAGAGACGCTATCCTGCGTGCATGTGTCTGCATGCATACAAGCTGCTCAAAATTGGTTTGCCATATTCCAGGGATTAGCATCTGATTTTGTGGATTACGGACAATGCTTTCACAGTTTTGAGCAGATGACTGTGGGAAACAACAAGAGTGTGGCACACGCTGCATTAATAGAGCTTAGACATCACAGGATGTCCAGTCCTTATATAGTAAAGCTTCCTTTCCATGTGGCCAGATTTACTCAGAAATGTGTTTCTGTGCTTGAAGCTGCGTGACTAAAATACAAATACAAGTGTACTTGCATTATTACTACTGGCTGCTTGAAATGGTTAATAATTCTATCATGCTTTCATATATTATATTTGATACGGTTGGATTCATTTGTTGGCTGTATGCATGTGGCACTGCTTTGTCTAATAGACTTCAAACCATGTGAGTCCATTAGTGGTTAATATGAAGGAGGAGAGAGCAGAAAGTAACAGTAGTGGGTCTTTATGAATATTCTGCAAAGCTCAAAGACAAATATGACATCATCTCATATGGGAGTGTCAATCATTGTCTAATGTATTCAATAACTACAAAACACTTAGATCATAAAACAATCTATTTTTTTTATCATCAAAGCTGCATGGTTTCGATGCAAAAACCATCTCAAAACATCATTCAAAGCCCCTTCCACTTGCCAAACCAAAAACAGGGATGTCTTTCTTTAAAAAAAAACAACAACTCACAATCATGTTTATTTAAAAAAATATGGTCACAGATTATCTTATTCCTCATGTTAAAAGTTCACTCTCCATCCTTATTACATTAGCTGCAATTAAAAAAAGAAACACACACAATGACCTGATTTCCTGTGCAAGACTCCCCCTGCTCACACAGATGCAACTCTCCTCCACAATAGTCAAAAGATTCGGAATGACGGAGGCCCCATCGCTATGGTAACCGGGTTTGTGCAGCTGAGCATTGCGCTTGGAGCGGTTGCTGTGGTTGTTGGTGAAGGATTGGAACTGGCCCATTAGCTCCACGCCTCCAAACACTGAAGGCCTAAGAGGTCTGAATAATTTGGCCACTTAATTTAACGAGCTAAGATGTTGTTTCAGCTGGCATTTACTATTTATGCTGTGATAGTGAACTATGCTGCCCAAATTAACCTCCAGTTCTTTTGTAGGGCAAGACGGTACTGTCACCTTTGACAAAAAATCAGTAAACTAAAATAAATTGCCATTGACATATTCATAAAAATTCTATAATTTATTAAAGGTTTGATGATAATATTAATTTATCGTTATTATTAGCAGTAATAGCAATAATAATTATTTATTGATATTATTTAGTGCTGTCAAATCGATTAATTGCAATTAATCACATCTAACATAAAAGTTTGTAAATTTATATACATATATATACACATACATACACATGTGACAGTATATACATACCACATATATGTGTGTATATATATTTTTTTTTTTACAAAAAAATATGTTTGATGCAATTAATTGCGATTAATCGACGACAGCACTAGTATTATTTCAACCGAAACCTTTATTTATTTTTTAGAAATTAGATCGAATTTTCCTCATTTTTGCTTACAAGGAACAAAACAGCCTCCCTGAGGAATACGTCTGCTGCACGGCTACTCTATATATTGTGTGACAGATTCAGTTCAGGATTTGAACACAAAAGCTTGTTATTTCTCCTCAGGCCTCATTAGAGTGTATGGGCTTGAATTCTGCAGATGTAGAGAAAGAGGACATCAGCTATGATCAATACTCATCCAGGTTTCTCTTCTCTGCTTCAGAATTCACTTGGAAAACACAGCTGTCAGCACCACAGCCAGACGATCAATAACATAATCTCCTCAAAGCCAGAGCACTGTTGAAAACTCATCGGCTAGAGGATCTTCCTTTATACTTGTCAAGTTACAATAAATTGTAACTTGTCATTACAATTTAAAAGAACTGTTTTCTCTTTGAATTTATTTTAAAATGTAATATATTCCTGTCCTATGATGGCAAAGCTGAATCATCACTCCAGTCTTCAGTGTCACATGATCCTTCAGAAATCATTCTAAAATGCTTATCTGGTACTGCAAGAAACATTTCTTATTATTAAGAAGTTGTGCTGCTTAACTGCTTTTTACAGAAACCATGATACATTGATTAATTAAAAAATGTGGCCAGTCAAATATATACGTTTTAATGCTTTTCTCATCAAAATGGCTATAAAGTGCCGACTAGTCAAATGAGGCGTGAGTCTGCCCTCTAGGGGTTATCAAGTGCCACTGCTGACTAATTTGAACCATTTAGATACCCAAATTACCCTCAAAACGAGTTATTTTCCCCATATATAAGACCATTAGACAGTTTCCTTTTACACACCTTATTTTCCCTAACTGAGTGCCATTGCTGGTGAAATGAGGACACGTGACACACTAGAAGATTCTGAGGGAAAAGAGCGTTGTTTTTTTTTTTTTTTTTTTTTGAGGAATCAGTAAAAACAAATTTCATATACAGCACAAGTACTGAAAGAGCATAGATCACGTGTGTTCTGCACTCCTGTTTGACATCTAGCGCAGATCTAGAATCTTCTAGAATCCCTTTTGTAAACTCTGCTAGTACCTTAGAGTGATTTCTAAATCATATACTTACAATTCTGTAAATATATACTGTACATACATAATATTAATATAGAAATATGGTTATCTAATGCCGTTTTAAGCAGCACTTTTTTGCACAATGATAAATGTAAAGAAAGTTAGGAAACAATTAATTCTTGGTTCCTTCTTTGTTTTGAAAGGATACACAGTGCTAATTTTTAAATCATATACATGAAGTCAGTAAACACAGTCTGGCACAGAGCCATGAGTATTCAGCAAAGAGATGCTTTAGATTTGTGAAACAGACAGCAGAGGTATCACTTACTGTACACATCAGTGACGGGCCTTGTCATCTTTTCGTTTGACACCAAAAGCAAGGGTTCTTTTCATGCCATATATATATATATATAAAAAAAGGCATTTTAGCAAACAATATTCCAAGCCTATTGTGTTTTATCAATGTCACAATCATTTTTCAGATCTAGATCTCAGTTTATATTCATTCCCTGACACAAGGATCTTTTATTTTCTTACTTTAGTGAATGGAAGTACTAACAAAAGACCAATATTGTGAATTTGCAGTCTCAAAGAAGGCAGCTCATCATGAGATGATTCATCCTGGTTTTTCGGACGGATAAACACCCCCAACGGTCCTAACATGACAAGAAATAATCACAACAGTGAGAGCCACTAACAAAGCACTGCTCTGAAAGGCAGCCGTAATAAACCTTGGTCAGGTTAGAAGCCATATTAAATTTAACGCAGGTGAAAACGAGGCTGTGAGGGATAGATTTACAGTCTTTACAATTGCACGCACTGTCTAAAGGTATTAGATCAAGACATTTTGTCAGCCGAACAATCGGATTGATATTAAACAACTGTACAATTCATTGAACTCACTGTAATTCTATCCCTCGCAGCCTGTTTTCATTGCTGTCAAAAATTAAATATGGCACTTCCCTGACTGAGGTCTATGGGCCTGCAGTTTCAAAATGGGTGTGCAATCACTTCCAGGACAAGTGTTAATGCTTCTGCTTCATCCTGATCACTTTATCAGCATTTGCTAAGTTGCACTGGTATGGTCAAAGATTGCAGGTCATATATTGGTTAGTAAAAGGTTAGAGCAATGACGTAATATGAGAGCTGATCTCCAGTGTTGGTAAGAAAAAAAAAAGAAAAAAAATGAGAACAAAATAAGACTTCTAGATTTCTGAATTCTAGAAATTATTCACTGACAGGAATTAAAGAACATTAAACGTCAAAACAGCCTGTGACAACGTAGTAACACTTTAAAATATGGTTGTTCAATAGTTAACCTTATTGTAAAGTGTTACCCAAGAAATTTCAACCAACAACGTCAAACATTTTGGTTTCCCATAACCAAACCACAACAGCAATAATACTGAATTCAATTTCATTTTTTTTCCCTACATTTTAAAACATGGCAAGGAGCTGTCAATACAAACCAGCAGACTTTAAAATAAAATGCAGGTGCATTTCAGTTCAGCTACATACTTGTAGGGAAATTAATTTGGTTTGTTAGTTGAATCTAAACAGAAATGTGTGATTAATTTGAGGCTGATATGGAGTTTAGGGTTCCTCCTGAGACACTAAAATTACATTGGCAAAAACCCTGAAGTGCTTATAATTTATCTTCGGGAATGGAAACAAAACGTAAAAAGGCATGTATTGGTAAGCATACTGTATATTAAAAAAAATCACTAAAATTATGAATTAGTTGCAATGTATATGTTATGAAAGAAGAAATCTACAATAACAAAACATTCAATACAGAATTTTAAAAAGGCTGGTAAAGGAAGATAGAGATGGAATGTGTTTGTGTCGTCTAGATGGACTGCTGAAATGCTTCAATTAAATATACGGTCAATAAATCAATTAATTCCAGGGTGGCGGACAAAAAAAGTAAACAATCTCAGAGGAACTGCCAGGAAGAATTTGTAAATATCAAATCATGTTTTTTGGAATCAGTGTTTTTGCTTTTCCACATTCATCCCTTTTTTAAAAGCTACTTAAGAACTTGTTGATCATAAACTGTAATGTTTAGGAATGCGAAATATCATGTTTACGTTGCTCAATCTATTTTGGGAGCACACGCCTTCTTTAAATCCATGCACACACACTCTCTCTAACACATACACACATGAGATGATTAGCTGACATGGTTAGGTTTAGTTGCTGTCCTCTTTAGCTTGAGAGAGTGCTTTCTCTGAGCTTGCCGAGCCCTCGAAGCGCTGGGAGGCGATGGCAGCCTGATGGGACATGCTCTTCCTCACAATGTCTCCCTTCCTCCATAGTGTAATCTCCTATGAATCCACAAAGGATGATTAATAAATAACACAAAATAGATCATGTTCTAAACAATTAATGATTATTTCACCATTGCTAGGGAAACAAGTATGAATCCTTAAACACAAAATGCATAACTTGTGGAATTGTTTTCGTATTTAGTTTCCTATTTTTCATTTATTTAACACCAACCTGTTGTTTGAAGTAACGTCGCTCTTCTTCATCAATGAGTACGAGATTCAGGTAATAACGAACAGAGAATTTCTTATTAATGTCCCTCATGGTGGGCGTCATCTCGTACCCAGCCAGAAAAAGACGGATGGGGATGGATTCACCTAAAGCCATTAAAGATCAAATTCAAATTCAGTATACTTTATTTCAAGTCAGTTGTAAACATGCTTCACATTAAAGGTGCAGTAAGCGGTTCCTGAGAAACACTTGATATTTGAAATCAACCCAATCAAACACACCCCTCCTTTCATTGCTCCGCCCCCAAAATGCACAAACACGCAATGCAAGAGTGGATGTCCTTCATCATAGTTGAAGTGAAACAAAATAACAACGAAAAGATCCAAAAAATGAACAGAGTGCACAAAAGTATATACAAGCACAAGTAGCTCCAGACAAACAATGACACTCTAAACTGTCCTGTTTCTATAGCTAACATTACAACAACAGCATATCTTGGCAAAACCAATGTTACTCACGTATGGAGCAGAAACAGCGCAGCCTCTGCATCCGTTTTCAGGCCTTCCCGCCTACGACGCTCCAGTGCTGGAAAGCTTTTCTAATTTTATTGTGGGTCCTAAAGCTCTTGCCTAATCATAGCCCTTCTTTTCCCCATGATATTCCTCTGACCTTTTCTTTTTTTGTAATGTCTCTCTTTCTACAGTCTTTCTTAAAATCTCCCTCACTCTCCTCCCCCCATCATGAGTGTAAATGCCCCCTACTGCTGATTGGCTACAAGTGTGTTGTGGTGCTCAGTCTGATCCACTTTCAGCAGCGTTTATCAGAAATTGCTTACTGCACATTTGATCCAGTAGAAACTTCATCTTTATAAATTTAAGTTACCATCAGGGGGTGTTAAAGGAAAAGTTTACCCAAAAATAAAAATGATCCCATAATGTACTCACCCTCAAGCCATTCTAGGTGTATATGACTTCCTTTTTTCAGCCAAACACAATCGGAGTTATATTTAATAGTATCCTGGCTCTTCCCAGTTTTGTAATGGCATTGAATAGTGCCTGAGTTTTTGAAGCTTCAAAAAGCACATCCATCCAACATAAAAGCAATCCATACAACTCCAGTGGGTTAAAGGGATAGTTCACCCAAAAATTCTGTCATCATTTACTCACCCTCAAGTTGTTCCAAACCTATATACATTTCTTTGTTCTGCTAAACACAAAGGAAGATATTTTGAAGTATATGGGTAACCAAATTTTTGTTTTTTTCATATTTATTTTTTTCTATACCATGGAAGGCAATGGTGCTCCACAATTGTTTGGTTACCCATAATCTTCAAAATACATTATTTTGTGTTCAGTAGAACAAAGAAATGTATACAGATTTTGGAACAACTTGAGGGTGAGTAAATAATGACAGAATTTTCATTTTTGGGTGAAATATCCCTTTAAAAAATGCCTTCTGAAGCCAAGCCATGAGTTTTTGTAAGAAAAAAACTCTCTCATGAACACGCATACGACCACTGCTGGAAGCCAGTGATTATAGTTTATAAAGTTTTAAATATGGAGATTTTCCTTACAAAAACCAATCGCTTCACTTCAGAAGGCCTTTATTAAGCCCTTGGAGTTGTATGGATTAATTTTTTGATGGATGAATGCTCTTTTTGGAGCTTCAAAAGCTTGGGCACTATTCAATGCCATTACAAAACTGGGAAGAGCCAGGATATTATTTAATATAACTCTGATTGTGTTTGGCTGAAAGAAGAAAGTCATATACTCATAGGATCGCAAATAAAAATGTGTGTGATCTATTACTTTAAGAATTGTTTCATACCTCGGACAGGTGCTCCATCCATAATCTCGTATTTTGCAATGGTGTCATTTTCATGGTACACATTTGGCCCTGTCCCTGTTGTCTCCCGTTTAATAATATCAATTTCCATGTGTTTGATCTTAATTCGCACCAATAGGAAATAGATCTTCCCCACAATCACATCTTTGAGATGATACCTGCCATTTTCAAGATTTTTAGGAGGGGAAAAAACAGGGGAAAATGCAAAAAAAATATGACAAATATGAATTTTATTGAACTATTTTAACATTTACAAATCATCTAAGACATAAAAACCTCCCATCCTCTGGCTGTTTTTCAGACTTACTTCGACTTGTTGTACTCAAACTCAATGTGCAGACAGTCCTCAATTCCCACTTCCATCTTTATGGAGGAGTTGAGTTCTGGATATGTACTGAGTGTGTGCACTACGATGTCCATCTCTTTGCAGATGTCATTCAGTCTCCTGCTGATGGTTGCCCGCAGGAAATAGCTGAGGGAAAAAATGAGAGTTTATAATAAAATCATTTAAAAAAAATATATATATATATATAAAGTCTATCAAATAAATGTACAACATATTGTTGTGTGAGCTCACATACACAATCTTTACTGAACTACACAATGACAGGAACACATACCGTAGTTTTACATTCTGGCCTGTGTAAGACTCGTACGGTTTCTCCACATGTGTGAACTCAAAATCAAAGGTCTGAGATTGAGCCATTTCTCCAGGCCGAGCTAAATCCTTTACCAGAGAGACAAACTCATGATGGTTTCCTCTGTCATAGTACAATTCTACAAGGAAAATTAACAAGACACCGGAGAGAAAATGTGATAATAAATTAGCATATTTTGTTTGTGCATTCTGTTTATTCTTTCAAATTAGAACAATTCTTTAATGGTTTGAGTTTGTTTGGTTTGGAACAACATGAGGGTGAGCAAATGTTTGGGTGAATTAACCCTTTTAAATACAATAAATATAAGGATGTATAAATATCTGGGAAAACATTTGACATTTTCTATACATCCAGGAAACTTAACATTTCTTTGTGATGCTTCAAGGGTATATACTGTATGGCTTTAAATAGAGTGTTAAATTAGAACAAGGAGTAACAATCATGGTTTAGGGAAACTGTTCATTACTGAAAATAAAAACAGGATCCATTGCTTGTGGCAAGCATCCAGAGGTGTGGTTTCTATACCGCCTTTTTTACTAGAGATAGGAAGTCGACTCACTTCGGAGAATCGGTTCTTTTGAACAATCAGATTCAAAGAACAGGCTAAAAAGCAATTAAATGATTATGAGTAGCACATATTGCTGCCCATAATGGGTTTTAATTATAAGGGTTTTTCTTTATTTTGTATTTAGCGATGAATACAACAATAGTTCCCATTTCAATTTGTTGTATTCATGATTCAGCTAATATTGTGCTATTTATTTAGAACCTAAATATAATTTGCAAATACATTAAATAAAACTAAATTTCATTTACTTTTCTTAGCTGAAAAGTGTTAATACAATTTATTTAACTATTTAATTGTAACATTTCTGGTTTTTGGCTATTAAACATCTATTCGCCTCAACGGTTCTCGATTAATTACGGAAAATGCCTAAACAGGACGGTTCTCGGATCAACAGGTCGGTGAGCAACGAGTTGTTGGATGAATGCAGAATAGCATACTAGTGTTTAATCTTTTCCTTTAGAATAAAGATATCGAGGAGCGATCTCAGAACGATTCGGTCCGAATCGTGAAGGAATCATTAAGACCTGTTTTGTGAACCGGTTCGTTCGATTCACTGAAAATATTCATCTCGAAAGAACGATTCGATCACGAATCAACTTTCGTTAATGTGTCATATGTCACGAGACAAGGTTTTTGTAATTTGACACTTCAGCATTTCTAATGCTTCAGTCTGAATCCCCTTTATAAAACTTACATGTAAAAAAAAAAACATGCAAACAAACACAGATGTAAATGTTGTATTGAGCGGTAACATTACAGCACATTCGTTACGTCATCAAGCATCGCTCGTTCATATTACGTTGCACTTACCGATTTGCCCGATAAATTCTATTTTGATCCCTTGATGCTCGAGCCTCTTCCCTGGGTTTTTCAGGGTTACATTGACTTTCCCAGAGACTGTCTCCCCGTCGTAAAACAGAAAGTATTTGTCCTTTTTCCCGTCCTCTGTTTTGTGCTCGGCCTTTTTTCTCGTCTCGGCATCATTTAAAACTACGTCAATTTCAGCACTTTGTCCGAAACTGAAGAAGCTCATCCCGACACCTTGTGCTGGACTGGAATCCTTTTGTATTCTAACACCTGGTCCAATTCCACATCAATACAATTGCGTCCTCTTTACAGCTAGCTGCTTTATCTTCTGCAATGCATGTACGCTTATAATATACTGTTTAAAATTCAATTTTGCTAACTCTTCATATGGCTCCTGTATTACTACCTGCGATGGATTTTCAGCAATGTACAAACAGACACAGGCTTCAGAAATGATTTTACTTCCGGGATAGTCCACGTAAATATTTTTTTCAAAATAAAGGTCTTATAGAGACTATTGAAATCAAATGTAACATATCGAATTGAATTTATCAAAGGGCAATTGTACGACTGATTAATTGTATTGAGAATTTAAATGCTTTTAGTTTTTTTAATAATTTGTTGCACACAAAATGTTATTTAATAACTTATGTTATATTTAAAACTTGGTGTCACTGCCATGTAGTTATTGTCTCCCTCTAGTGAGTAACTTTGATAGGCTCTGCATGAGCACCGGTTACACACACACACACACACACACACACACACACATATATATTTGACTTTGCCACATGTATGCTTCGTTGAAAACATAAAGTATCTTATTACAAATATAGGAAGTCCAACAAGATACACTATAGACTGTTTGACAGGCGAATAAGTGCCAAATGGTTTATAAATCTCACTGCACTCTGCCTTTTAAATCTTGATGAAAGGACCGCTTTCAAAGCCTATTAACAAAATATATTAAACTGGTGATTATTTGATATTATAAAACTAAAAAAGTGAATGGAAAGCTAAACTGTGGTCAAATTCTTTCATGGCAGTCATAATCCTCTGTAAATCATGTTTAACTGAAATTTAGGAAAAGCCATTTTAACATTTATTTTCTTTAAAACTAGTATCTATTTGTGTTACTAGTAGGCTACATACTTTAATTAAAAGTAAATAATCCAATTCTGACTAGTATCTTTTTCAATTTCACTAACAACTATATTATTCCAATATCTATTCAGTTAGTCTCTAGAACTTATTTATTTGATTGGCTACTAGTACTTATTCCTTTGCCGATAATGACAAGTATCTATCCCACTGTTACTGTTAATGAATTGCTCATTTTTGCCACTGAATCATATGAGGATCTATTGCTCAGATATCAACTATTCACTAGTGAAATAAGAAATGTTTCTATTAACAACTGGGATAGATACGATATATCTGGAATGGATACATAATGACTAACTAGTCACTAGAAATAAGTACATCTAATGAACATATGCTATAGTTATAGCCTAGTGAAATTGAAAATAGATACTGTCACTATTGAATAACTCTTAATAAGAGTAACATAAAATAGATAGTACTTTGTAGAAACAGCCTGCCACAGGGATAAACTGGAGTAGCGTGGGTTATGCAAACGTAATCTCTGTTTACCTTTTGAATACGCGCTTGTGATTGGCTGACGCGGCTCTCACTCCCGCTGTGGGCGTGGCCAGGTCACTCTACTCTAAAACGCGCTGCTCCCTGAAAGCGCTTCATAACAGTCATTTCATTTAAAACCGCGCTAGGCATGGTACGATTCACACATCGCTGAGTTATACAGTGCTATCAGACACAGGGCTTCATTGTCAGTCAGATATGATCATGTGCGATTGTTAGTGTTAGCAAACTAGACAAAATCTTCACTGCACTTATCATCTGTTTAAGGACAGTCAGCTGACTTGGATTTGATTTTGGGATGGCAGAAGCGCAGCAACAGCTGGTTGACATCGACCCGGATTTCGAGCCTCTCTCCCGTCCGCGCTCATGCACCTGGCCTCTGCACCGACCGGAATTCAGCGAGCCGGGGAGCTCGAACACGTCCTCCCCGGCACCGTCCGTCAAGCAGGAGCAAGGTATCGTGGACTTTATTAACAGCCTAAGTTTACTAGAAGAGACCGAGGACTACCAGGAGGAGAAACCCGTCCTTTTGAACGACTTCCACTGCCAGGACACCTGCGTTCATCCCCAGCAACAGCATCCCCAGCAGCCGAATCCCCAGCTGACGCACCCGCAACAGGTGCCGCCGCTCCCCGCCCCTGCCAGCAGCTCCAGCCCTGCAGCGGCCCAGAGGAAGAGCAGCTCGTCTCGTAGGAACGCGTGGGGGAATATGTCATACGCTGATCTCATCACCAAGGCGATCGAGAGCTCCCCCGAGAAGCGGCTCACCCTGTCTCAGATCTACGAGTGGATGGTGAAGAGCGTGCCTTACTTCAAAGATAAGGGCGACAGCAACAGCTCAGCCGGCTGGAAGGTAATGGCTCACCGAGGCCAAGCAGAAACGTGATTAAAAGTAGCATTGGATGCTCATATGTGCATAAGTACAGAATACTTGATTTAAACACACACTCGCATCTATACAACTATTTTGTAGACCGAAAGCATCCCTTTGATGTGAAGTGTCCATTAAAGTATTACATTTTATTAATGATAAGATCGTCAACTCAAAGCATGAACCATTTAAAGTGTGTTTCAAAGTAATTGAAGGGATTCAATTATAGCCTATGTATTGATTATCATTTCATGTATAAATCTAACAAGATTATTATTCATTTAATTTTTTTGAAAGTGTATTTCAGCTGACTTATGCAATTGGTTTTACCTTAATTTAAATATTTTTTTTGACAGAGGTCCTGGGTGGGCCTGACCAAAATAACCCATGCAACCACCCACAACTGTCTGGCCCGCCTTATATTTTAGAGGCTTTGTTTGGTGAATTTAATTGAGTTAAATCTTTTTGACTTGACTGTGAATGTTTTTTGACTAGCTAATTAAGGTGTTACCACATGAAACCCATGTTTAGGTAACTTTTTTTTCCAATGTAGGCCCCTAAAAAATGTTTAGTGTAGTATATGACTAACAATTAGCCCTCAAATGCGTAGTTGTGGATTCCCTCTCAGAGCAAATAAATGACATGCGGTTTGTTATGGAATGTGAGGCTCGAAAAAGAGCTCACAGTGTTCAGAAGAATGCATAACATCCCAGTATCAGCTGCACATGATGCCAGTTCAGTTAAATCGTTGTTTAATTTCCTTGACCGAAAAGCTTGTGGTTTGTCTTTCTGCCGTCAACCTGACGTACATAGAGGGTTAAATGATAAATCTTACAAATTGCACGCGCTCATGTAAAAAAAAAAAAAAATCACCCTCATGTTGTTCCAAACTCCATATGACCTTTTCTGTTGTTTCTGTGAAACACAAATATAGAACATTTGTTTTTCATGCTGGTACTGAAGCTTACAAGCTTAAAAAAATATGCAAAACCACCATTAAAAAGTATCATAAACACGAAAAGAGTGGCCATTAAAGTATTTAAAGTGTATACTTTTTGTGAGTACATATTTTGTGCGAACTGTCCCTTTAATTTAGTAATTTATCTAGTAATGTGAGGAGGGACTGTGGTCATTTTCATTGGTTGTAACTCATGTGACCTATTGTACTAGGCTAGCACTCATGCAGAGGTATATAGTAAGTTTGGGGATGTGACGACACATTTTTAAAGCTTCTCTTTAAGGTGCCTGATAACTATTTTGAGTCCAAGAGGGCTGCCATGAGTGAGGTGGAGCAAACAGAGAGTGGTTTCAGTGTTGAAAGAGTCTTTGTCAACCTGTCATTTATCTCTAGAGCACTTGTTCCTGTCTCTGATTCACCCCTCCATACAAGCCACTTTTGTTTCTTTGCTTGTTCTGTGCGTAAATGGAAATACAAATCCTTACCGTCACACATGTCAGGGCCTCCTCCCATCACTGAGCTAAAAATACCGGCAGGATTACCTGTCATTACAGGGAGACACAATTACCTGAAAGGTGTGGTCCGCCCCCCTCCTCACCGCCATTGGCTCTACACGCCATGGCAAAACATTGTCTGGGCTCATCCACCTGTGTGACATCATAGTTTCAGCATTCCAGTCACTCATTGGATGTTTGTACTGTTGGACTGTTCTTTATCATCATAGTGTGTACATACCTGAGACTGGAAAAGTTTTCTGCTTCCTCTCCCAGTAGATTCCCGTCTGCGACGGTCCCATTAACATAGTAAAACCTGAACACCAAAATAAGGGGTTTGCTGTTGCTTTTATTACTCTGTCATATGATTATACTTTTTTTTTTTTTTTTTGCTGGCCCAGTCAGGACATTAGTTTAGATATGTATGGAAGCTTATTTCCACCACAGAATAAAACATTTAAAAAGATAATTGCGACTTTTTATCTCACAATTGCGAGTTTACATCTCGAAATTCTGACTTTATTTCTCAGAATTGCGTGATATAAAGTCGCAATTGCGAGATTCTAAACTCAGAATTGCGAGAAATACTAAACTTTCAATTCTGACTTTCAATTGATATCAATTGCGTGATACAGGTCGCAATTGCGAGATTCTAAACTCACAATTGTGAGAAATAAACGTTCAATTCTGACTTTTTTCTCAGAATTGCTTTCTTGCAATTCTGACTTTATTACACGCAATTGGGAGATATAAAGTCAGAATTGTGAGATATAAACTCGCAATTGCAAGAAAAAAAAGTCAGAATTGAAAGTTTATATCTCGCAGTTCTGAGAAATAAAGTCAGAATTGCGAGATGAGTTTATTTCTCACAATTGCAAGTTTATATCTCACAATTCTGACTTTATAACATGCAGTTGCGACTTTGTATCATGCATTTCTGAGATAAAAAGTCAGAATTGCGAGATTACCTTTTTTTTATTCTGTGGCGGAAACAAGCTTCCATAAACAGATGCTTGCCAGACAAATTATTCTTGCAATTGGGATAAAACGTCATCTTTGTTTGTCAGTTGGATACCATGGTGACATTTAAATCAGAATCATTTGCAACAAGAAAAAAATAAGTTTGAAAGACATTAAAGCTGCATCTGACAATGTAAATGTATATTGACAAATATAAGCTAGAACTGTATGCAAACTGATCTCTTTTGTTCAGTATTTTTTTGTTCAAGCCAAGCCATGAATTTGAATGTAAAAGCTAGGTCAAGGAGATTGAAGTGAAAATACTCCAGTCCCCTGCAGTTCAAATGTCTCCGGGTTTAAAGGTCATGCCACCAAATTTGTGGAGCATGTCATGGGAGTCCATGTTCATACCCTCAAAGTCAAAGTGAAATAATGAGAATAGTGTTTAGACTCATTTTATGAGGTTCTGGCACACAGTACAGTATGCTGTTTCTTAACTCTCTTGTGTCTTTAAACATGCATAC